CCCCCCCCCCACCCTCACCCCCCTCCGCAGTGGGCCAAGGTCACCTGCAGGGCAGACAGCACCAGGACATGGCCAGCAGCTGGGCTGGGAGGCCCCTAGAAGAGCCGGCTCAGACACATCCGTGTGCTCATCCCCATATGCCCTGAACACCCTGAGCATACCTTGCCTGAACACCCGCCTCTCATCACACGCTCAGGTGTACACACACCAGGCACATGCCCAGACTGTCACGCTGTCCTAATAAAACAACAGGCAACGCGCACATGGCCTTCACTCATGCCGGGCACTGGTATAAGCACCTGACAGGAATGAACTCACCTAATCCTTCCAATAGCCCTATGAGGTGGCTATCTGCTAGTATCCCATTTTACAGACGGGGCAATTGAGGTCCAGAGATATATATGTTGTACCCTGGGCCACACATCTGTCACTGGCAGGGCTGGGATTTGAACCCAGGCTGCCCAGCTCCACAGCCCCAGCTGTTGCACACTGTGCTGGGTGGTCACCTGGCACCCCCACCCAGAGCAGATATAGTGCACATGGACATGGCACAGTCTAGGCCGTATACCCACTGTGCAGTGCCTGGACACTCTCCCCGCCCCCGTGGGCTACAGGTGCCCTTATCCCTGCCCTGGAGAAGAGAGGGTGGGACCCCAGTCCCAGAGCCCCCAGCAGGGTTTCCTCAACTCCTCTACCCTCTCCACCCCACCCATGGGACACTGGGAAATCGCCTGGTGCCAGCTGCGAGTGAAGTCACAAAATTAGGTTTAATTGGGCCCCACAGGGTACAAAAGAAAACAGGAGAGTCCAGCTGGTGTCCCTGGACCTGTGCCAAGATGTTGGGGATGGGGTTGTGATGGAGGAAGAAGGGCCTCAGTTTGCACATCTGTAAAATGGGAGAAATGGTGGTCCTTTCCTGCTGCCCAGCAGCTGGTGCCCATGGAGCTCCTGGCACAGGCATGGGGTGCGGTGGGAGCTGGGGAGCTACCAGAGTTGCGTCACGTTCTCCTGGCCAGTATACCAACTCCACCCCTAAGGAGGGGTCACTGTCCCTATTTTCCAGATGAGGCAGTGGACACTCAGAGAGGGGAAAAGACTTGCCAACATGCCCCATTGTCACAGGCGATGAGGGACGAGCTGGGACTTGACCTAGCCCTGCCTCTCTAGCAGGGGCCGCTCAGGCCTTGGCACCAGGGCAAGATGGAGCTGAAGGAGCATCTCCTCCACGCCTCCCACAGCGCCCAAGTTGTTTACCTGGGCTCAGGTCCCCAGGGTCTCTGGCAAGTCCTGGAGCCGCCTTCGAATCAACAAGCCCAGGCCCGGCCCCAATTAAGCCGGATGCACTAACGAGGCGGTTCATTAAGGAGACTGGAGCCTCCTGTGTGGAGCCGACCCACCTGCCCACCTCCCCTCCTTGGCACAGGGAAAAGGCTGGAAGACTAGACTCAAGGCCCAACCCGATTTGCCACTTGTAACTAAGTGGCCTCAGTTTCCTCATCTGTAAAGTGGATCCTAGAGCTTGCATGGCCACGAGGGGCCTCGCCTGGGGAGGTCGGCCTTGGAATCCGGTGCGTGGGTCGGCTGGCATACCCGGGCAGAGGCCAGAGGACGAACTTCCCCCGGTTCCCGCCTCCTAGAGACGTTCGCATCCGGGAGGCCCCTGCCCTGCAGTGCCCCAGCCGCAAAGAGCAGGGCGGGCTGGGCGCGCCCCCTGCCGGCCGCCCCGCGTCCCTTCCCGTCGGGGTCCGCAGCGGCCCCTCTCTGCGCCTGGAGGGGTCAGGTTTCCCCAGATGGGAAACAATGTGTTGGGAGGCGGTGACGCGAGTGGCTGGAGGCCGCGGGAGAAAGGCGCGGTGCCGGGTGAGTCCCACACAGCCGAGGGGACTGGGACTCTTCAGTCGTGGGCATCAGCCTTCTCTGTAATATGGGCTCGGGCGGGACGCGGGGAGCCCATGGCTCACTGTCCCTCCCCTGCAGTGGACGGCTGCATTCACCGGGCCGCCGGGCACCTGCTCACCGACGAGTGCCGGACCCTGCAGAACTGCGAGACCGGCAAGGCCAAGATCACTGGCGGCTATCGGCTGCCGGCTAAGTGTGAGTCCCGACACCCCCCCAGCCCTGTGGGGCGCAGACGGGGGGGCGCTTTGTGTCACTTGGAGAGGTTAATGATGTGGCCCCCACAGAATTACTGGAGGCCTTCTCGGGGGGCATTTCTTAGCTGTAAGTATCATGATCTGGCCCCTCCTCGTACACCTCAGGAAACACGTGAAGGGGGGATGCGCGGAGGCTGGGGAGAGGCAAGGACCTATAAGGGGAGGGACGAATTAAGGGGGCGGGACGAATTAAAGGGGCGGGGCCTTCGCGCCTCGTTAGCATACAGATGTGGGGAGTGGCACAGCGCGGGCCCGCTGTGTCTACTGAGGTGTGGATTTGGACTCCAGGGCACACCTGTGTACCCACATGGGTGGGGTCCTCCCCTGAGGAGTCTCGGAACGTGGGGGGTAGAAGGCCCGTTTCCTGTCCCCTCCAGGGCCCAGGCCGGCAGGGGGAGAGCCGAGTACCGCAGGGAGACTCCGGCCGGCCTGACCCCGTGGTCTCCCGCAGATGTCATCCATACGGTGGGTCCCATTGCCCACGGAGAACCCAGCGCCAGCCAGGCTACCGAGCTCCGCAGCTGCTACCTGAGCAGCCTCGACCTGTTGCTGGAACACCGGCTCCGCTCGGCGGTGAGGGCGCCAGGCACGGGGTGGGAGCGGCCGGGAGCCAGGGGACACGGCCCTGAGGGAGGAGGGGGGCGGCAGCGAGGCGTTAAGTGACGCTGTCCCCATCCCCTCTCCCCTTCACCCCGCCCAGGCGTTCCCCTGCATCTCCACTGGTGTGTTTGGTGAGTGGGGTCGTAGAGAGGAGGAAGGGCGGAGTGGGCAGTGGGCGGTCTTAGACACGGGGAGAGGCCGGGGCGGGGAGGGGCCCTGGAGGGGGAGCTTGGTGGTTCGTGGAGCCGCGAGGGGGCGGGCCAGAGCCCAGACTCATTCTCGCGGGGTCCCCAGGCTACCCCAACGAGGCGGCGGCTGAGGTAGTGCTGACCGCGCTGCGCGAGTGGCTGGAGCAGCACAAGGACAAGGTGAGACCTGTTGCTCAGTCAAGGGGACTGGACGAGGCGGGGTACTGGGGTGCACCCCAGCCCCGCTGACCAGCCCCCATCAGTCATCGCTTAGAGCGAGGGTGCAGAGGGCCTGGCCCTCGAGTCTCTGGCTACACCAGCCCTTCCTGCATCCTCTCCTTCCCTTAGCTGGTTACCATCCTGCGCGCACCATGAACCCCTTCCGTAAAGGGTGTAGCCTAGCTCTAAGCTCAGGGTCGAGGGGCGTCCCAAGGCCAAGGCAGGTGACCCTGCAGGACCAGTGGCAGTGATAAGACCTGGGACCCACCCAGGAGAGGGTGGCTCCCCCCGCTCCCCCAGACTGAGCAGGCCCTGATGCAGGTGGACCGGCTTATCATCTGTGTGTTCCTGGAGAAGGATGAAAATATCTACCTGCAACGGCTCCCCCACTACTTTCCCGCGGGTAGGTACCTGCTGTGGTGTCAGCACCCCGGCCAGCCCCTGCCCCTCCCCACCTACCCCGCACCTGTTCTCAATGTCCTCTGCCTTCCAGCCTGACGGCACCCTGCCGCCCACCCTGACCAGGACTGGTAAGCAGGGCCTGCCTGGCCCGCTGTGCGGCTGGCTGCCCACTAACCTCCTGCCCACTAACACACCCGCTCCCCCTCGGTGCTCACCCCCACGCATGGCGGCAGCCTGGGAGGCCCAGGGAAGCCCACAGCCCACCACTTCCTCTGACCTCTCTGCTCTGCCCACAGACTCGCCTGGGCCTGCCAGACCTCGCTCCCAGCTCTGAGAGGTCTCCGAAGCTTACAGCTGGGCCTGGGCCTGGCCACCCCATCCTTTCCTTCAGCCCCCTCCCCCAGGAGAGGAGCCTCCTAATAAAGACCACCCTTGTTGCAGCTCCTGCTGTCCGAGCCCTGGCTGGGGTGAAGGGAGGCAGCCCTGGGGGTGGGCAGGTGCTTTGGCTCAGAGGCTGGTGAGAGCTCTCCATGAGCTGGGTGAGGGAGGCACGGGCCAGACAGCAGAAGTGGGCAGCAGCACTTCACATTTATTGAGGGCCTGCCCCCAAGGAGCTCACAGCTTGGGGGCCGAGCTCCCACATGTGCCGGGGTGGGAGAGGAAAGGTGAAGGCAAAAGGGCAAGCAATGCAGACACCACGGCCCAAGCAAAGGGGGTGCAAAGCAGGCACACGCAGGGGTCCTGGGGTGGGCCGGGGGATGGCGGCCTGGCAAGCCCTGCCTAGACCTGGGGACTGAACCAAGCACAGGCTGCCCCTCCCCCACCAGACTGGGGCCACCTGGGATGCACTGGGGGTGTCCTAGCTCCTCCACCTGCCCTGAGCCAGGCCCCACCATCATGTCGGCCCTCTCCACCCAGGACTCTAAGACCATGCAGATGCTTGATGGAGGGCAGGCAGCTGGGATCTGGGGCCCTGGCCATGAAAGCAGAGTGGAGGTGGGGCCTATGAGGGAGCAGCTTGAAGCTTGGATGGTCCTGGATCCCTGGGCAAATCCCCAAGGAACTTCCAAATTTCCTGGACAAGCTAAGGAGGGAAGCGGGGAGGCGTGAGGGAAGCAGAACCCAATAACCAGGAGTGGGCCCCAAAAGGCCTGGCCCCTCAAGACTGCTGCTGGTAGGGAGCTTGGGGGTGGGCAGGCGGAAGGCCGAGAGGAACCCACCTGGGGGGAAGGGGGGTAGCCAGACACATAGCAGCCAGGTGGGCAGCAGCAGAGCAGGGACACGCACACGTGGCTCACCATCAGCATCCCCTTTAATAAAACATGGAAGGTTGTGTGACAGGGAAGGGGGAGTGAAATATGACCATTTACAACCACACAAAAACCTCTGTACATGTCTAGCGCCTGGCAGAGGGGAGGCAGCAGGGCAGTGGCGGGCAGGGCCAGCCCTATTTGTAGAGGATGTCGTAGTGTCCAGGCCGGTAGAGAAGGTAGACCTTGGGCTCGGAGCCCTCGGGGAAGATGTGCGGGTTGGTGGTGCCGCCCTCGCCGCGGTCCATGTACTCCACCTGAATGGAGACGCTGAGGGCCTGGGCCAGCGCGATGATGTGGATATGGTCGCTCTCCTTGCACATGGGCTCCACCTCCTTCAGCAAAGGTACAGATCAGGGTTCGGGTCTCAGCACCCCCTCCCCGTGCCTCCACTGACCCCAGAGCACTCCCGCCAGCCCTGATGCTCCCCACCGAGAGGAGAGAAAAGGCAGGGCCCTAAGTCTGAGAAGTGGGACGGGGTGGTACCTGCTGGCAGAACTCCTTGACAGTCCGCCCACCCTCAATGAAGTGCTCGAAGAACTTGCTCTCCCGCTGCAAGTAGCCGGAGGTGAGCAGCCGCAGGTAGACCACCAGGTAGTCCGAGGTACTCTGGTCATTGAAGGAGGCCAGCAGGTCGGCTACTGAGGTCTGCTTCTCCACCTGCTCGATCAGGTCCATGAACTGCCACCAGCAGGGACAGAGGGCAAGATGAGGGAGGAGATGGGTCAACTTTACCATGCCAGGCCACCCACCCGCCACCTGGCCCAGTGGGTAACAGGGATGGTTGGGCTCACCGTGTTATGGAAATCCTCAATTGTGAACTCGGTAAAGCCCTGGGACACCAAGTCCTCTTTGCTCTTGGCAGACACAGCCTTGAACCTGGCGATGGGAGGGAAAGGGAGGCAGGCATGGGCTCCTCAGCCAGCAAAGCAAGCGCCCAGAGAGGCCAGCCCAGGGGCGGTGACAGGCCAGCACTGGCTAGCCTCAGACAAGGCTGGCTCTTACCCCGAGTTCAGAAGGGACGCCCCCAGCAGGAACCCAGCCTACTGTCTGGCCTCAGATGGGGTAGGAGGGAGCCCCGCAAGCCCTTCATGGGACCGTGGTCAAACTCCTTCAGTGCCTAAGCGCCCACCCTCCTCACCTCTGCAATTCCTTGCTGTCTTCCAGCAGTGCCTCCAAGTGGGAGAAGCCAAAGGCTCGATAGAAGCAGTTCCCATCGGGCCTGGTCTTGCGGATGTACGAGTACTTTTTGTGGAGGTCCTGCAGAGAGGCAGCCCCCGCCCCACCCCATGCCCATCAACAGCAGGCCAAAACCAGGGCAGGCCAAGGGGCCCCCCGCCACACGCGCATACACACAAAGGCCACACCACAGCAATGGCAACTGAGCTCCAAGCAGCCACCTGCCATCCCTGGCTGCTGATTCTGGTGATGGAAATCACTTAGTGACCCACTGCCCAGAGCCTCAAAAGCTGCAGGAAACTGAGTGGTGGACGCACTCGCTTCACACGTCACCAAAGTAGTCACCAGCCCCTGGCCACCCATGTTCTATCTCCCGTACCCAAAATAGTGCCTAAGCCTGCAGGGCTGTCTACTCATAAAAACGGGCAAGTGAGTCAGTCCTTGACCAGTGCAGCTCTTCCAGTGAACAGTCTTCAAACCACAAGAGGCCAGGGCAAACTGGTTGAGGCGGGGGTGTGGTGCGGGCTCTACGCCGCAGCGCAGAGCGGGGAACAGCCTCCTTCTCAGAGCTACCTGTCCTCTCTCTCTCACAGGCACCATTTCTGTGCGACCTTTTCCGGTTTCCTCCCCAAACACCATGGAATTTCTTCTGTTGAAATGAACCCACCCACATGACTGGGCCATTACTGCTGCCTGGCCTGGCATCGTCCCCTACTCCCTGACATCTACTTCTCCTTAAACCCCACCCATCTCCCGATGGCCTTGCTTCCTTTCCAAATAAAGATTTTCACTGAGAACCCCTCAGCCCCACCAGCACACGCACCCTCGGCCTTTTCTCCTGATCCTCTGAGGCTGCTGCCAGAGCCAGGCCCCTCCTTGTGGCTCAAGGACATTGTTCCATGAAGTCTTCCCCTCTTCCTGCATCGTCAGTTTTCCTCTCTCTCTTGGTTTAGACCCATCAGCATATAAACACAAGGCTCTTTCTTGCTTTAAAAAAAATCCTTTGCTTCACATGAATTCCTTTCCAGTTACCACCCAATTTATGGCAGAACTATTCATGAAGTTGTCTGTGTTCACTGTCTCCATTTCTCTTCTCCTGTGAACGGAATCTAAGCAGGCTTCTACTCTAGTCAAGGTCATGATGCCCTCCCCTAAGTCCAAGGGTCAAACCCACTCCTCCCCATACTGGCCCCTCAGCGGCCATCCAGGCATGGTGATGCCACCCATCCTGTGACACCACCATCCTTTAAAGCCACCCACCTCAAGACCCCACCTCCACATGGCTTGTGGACCCCCTCCTCTCCTTGGCCTCCTCCTACCTTACTGCCATTCCTCTTCCTCTCTAACCTGTGAAGGTCAAGGCCACCACCAAACCACACAGCACCCTTCCTCAAGACACACTGTCACCTGCCAGAAAATGGTCATGACACATGTCCATCCACAGTGACTGTCATATGGATGGCTTGGGACAGCTTCCACTTGTTAACTAGACTCACTCTTGGTATCATCAGTCTTAGAACTTAAATGGCCCTAAATGTAACTCTTTGCCCTCCCTAGCTCAGCCCTGAACTCCAATTTCAGCTCACACATCCCACCACCTCGCCCACATGTCCACACTGCCTGACACAGCAGGTCCTGACCTCCACGCACCTGCCCTCAGCCTTCTCTCAGTCAACTGCAAGTCCACCTCTCAGCTGTTCAAGCCAAAAAGTCACAGTCATTGCTGACTTCTCCCTCACACCACATCCAGTCCAATGCAGATCCTTTGGGCTCCAGCTTCAATACGTCCAGTATCAAGCACTTCTCACTACTTAAGTCTCCCACCCAGGTCCCAGCCACTCCCGCCTCCTGCTGGTTTCCTTGCGAAGCTTCCACTCAGGTCTCCTTGCCTCCGTTCAGTCTGTTCTTACCCCAGAGCAACCCAAGAAACCTGCTGCCACTCCTCATCTTCCTCCAAGTCCTTTCTCTGGCCACACCTCCCACATCTCCCAGTCACCGGCCTCCACACGGCTCCTCGAGGCCCCAATGCACCCTGCTGGGACCTCTGCTACACTGCTCTGCCGGGCGGCCATACCCGCTCCCATGCCTGCCTCTGTTCATCACTCAAACACCACCTTCTCAGCGAGCCCTTCGCCGAGCCCCCTACTTAGAACTGCAAACTCCCCATCTCCTTGTCCTGCTTCACTTTTCTCACAGCCCCTAGCACCTCTGACGCAGACATTTTAGTTACTCCTGGCTTCCTGTCTGTCCACTAGGAACTGTAAGCTTCATGAGGGCAGGAGTTTGTCGTGGGGTCATCACTCTATCTCCAGTACCCTAACAGCACCTGGCCCATAGTATGTGCTCCTAACTGTTAAATCAACAGCTCACACACATATAGAGCCTGAAGTCACTCAAGCTACCAGAACAGCTACTAGACTCCTTCTGAGCACTTTCTCTCTGTTAGCCTATTAATCCTCACAGAGACCTATTTCACAGTCACCCAGCTCTGCCTGGGCGCTGAGCTAGGCTTAGGCTCCTCCCCAGGAGCAAAGGGGCACAGGCACAGCAGAGTGGGGGTGTCGGACCTCCTGCATAGACAGAATGACTCAACGGAAAGAACCTGAGAGGCCCATCCTGTCAATTTTACCAGGGTGACCTAAGTGTGACAGGTAGGCCTTGAAATGGGGGTCCCACTCTGCTAACCCAGCACATGGGGAAGAGGGGGACCCACAACTTCCTAAGCCCTGGCTGAGCACTGCACACTGGACTCAGCAGCACCTGACCACCGCCATCTCCTTCATGCCCCACACTCGTCCTATAAGGCAGAAACCTCTCCACCCAGAGATGAGCGATCACAGGCTCCAAGAAGCTCAGTGTGTTGCCCGAGATCACAGAGCTGGAAGTAGTGAAGCCATGACTCAAACCCAGCTCTGTCAGGCTTCAGAGCCAATGCCTTCATCTCTCCACAGGCCTCCTGGGTAAATCACAAACACCCTGAGCAAAGGGTCAGAGTAGACCACAAGCCACACATAGCTGGATCTGGTCTACAGGTGTGTTGTTTGATCCACACAACACTTTCAATTTGAACTAGCTGCCAACTGTTAGGAGTCTGGAGATTTCACATCAAAATAATTTCTGGTTTGTCTTGGAAAAATAGATTTGGCAACAATGGGTAATAGGCATGGACACTCCTATTTGCCCTGGGTGCTTCCATTCCTGCTGCTGGCTGATACAGAGCTGTGGTGGCCACTGTTTACCACCATGACCACCTTCAATCACCTGGTTTACCTGCCTGACCCCTGACATGGATAGCCCCAAAGGCCCCTCCTTTCAGATGGGAAGGTTCTAAGCATCTCTGCTCTTTAGGGGGAGAAGGGCGGAGTAACATTTACTAAACCCCTGGCTGTGCCAATGGCTCTACTGTTTACATATATCCACTGTCACATTTCAATCTCCCAGCTCACAGAAAAGAAAGTGAGTGGATAAGGGACTTACCTGTTTGTAAATGATGCAGCAGGGCCTGGCACAAAGTTCTGTAGGCCCCTTTCCCCACTGCTGCCTGCCTCTCCACAAAGACCCTGGAGGCAGGCTGCAGGACACCCCCCTGCCACAACCCTCCGGTCTCACATAGCCCCAGCCCATTCAGCCCCACAGTGAGCACTGAGCACAGAGGTGATCACCCCCAAGGTGTCAGCCTCCCCCAGTCTGCTCCATGCTCCACAGGCATCATCTCTCTCAACCTCACCACCACCCTCACCAACCACGGGCCCATGCTTTCATCATTCCGAATCTATAGATAAGGACCCCACAGCTCAGAGACACTGAAGGATGCCAAGGTTAAAGCTGCTCTGTGGCAGAGTCAAGATTTGAACTGAGGTCTTTTGATTCCAAAGTCTGCACACCTAAGAACTTGCAACCAGAGGGCTCCCCAACACCCTACCCTCCATGAGGCCAGGCCCGGCAAGGAGCAGGTCTGAAGCAGGCGCGCTCCTGCTCCTGCCCCAGGGCTCTTCCTGCCCCCTCGGCCAGGCTCCCACCTTGATCTTCTGTTGATAGATGTTGTCATCCTCAGCATACTCCTTGTACAGGACTGAGAGCTCCAGCCGCTCCGAGACCAGAGGGTTCTGCACAGCAATCTGCAGAGGGCAGGAAAGCCATCACGCTCTGGCAGGTGGAGGCAGTGACTCAAACCTAATAGCCAGAACACCTAAACCAGCGGTGCTGGGTCAGTCACCCAGTGGCACAGTGACCCCCCACAAAGGCATCCAGTATCTAGCACAGCTTGGAGGGGGACGCTTCCAAAGTAGAGATAAACAACAGGCCTCAAGCCCAGTCTATGTGTCCCAAGAGGGCCACTGACCACAGCCCCTCACCTCTTGCTGAATACGGTCCTGCTGAGCCATGATGGCCTCATCATAGGCAAGACAGTTAACACCTGGAAGAAGGAAGAGACCAAGGATTACAGCGGGCCCTGGCTATCTCCACTCCAGGTAGCCAGACTGAGGACAAGAGCAGCCGGGAGAGCAGGCTTAGAACCTGGAAGCATGCGGCTCACCCTGCTCCACCCCAACTGTGTGAGCTTGGCAAAGTTCGTTCCCCTCTCAGGCTTTAGTTTCCCCATCTTTAAAATGAGGGAGCAGAGGTGATCACCCCCAAGGTGTGCTCCTGCAGCTCTAACACCGCCCCCCTCGGCATCGCTTCCCAGCAGTCTGGGAATGCTCCGGGGCCAGGCGGGGTCTCCTGGGGAAAGTAAGAGGAGGAGGCAGAGTTCTGGGCTGGATGAGAGCTTCCCATGAGCCTGCACTTCACTTGACCACACCCTTCCTCCGCCAGCAGTCCTGGGTCCTCTTAATGGTGCCCATTTTACAGATCAAACAAATGCAGACAGGTGAAGTAATCTGCCCAAGGTCACAACTAGCAAAGACCTGTGGTCAAGCCCAGCTCCCCCTAATTCCCAAGGCTGAGCTCTTCACCATACCTCTCCTCAGACACCTCACTGCTGAGAACCTTCCTCCTCTGTAAAAAGAGGCTAATACCACCACCTTCCTCCCCTCACTGAAATGTCATGAGGAGGAAGTGGTACCTTAGAGGCATATTTTTTAAGGGTTCACCAGTGAGTTGGGCAGGTGGACCCCACTCTGAGCAACCACTGGTGGGGAGGCAGGAATTCTGGTCCTGGCTCTTAACTTCTGTGATCCCAAACAAGCCCCTTCTGGGGGGCCTGGGTCTCCCAGTGCTCAGTCCCTCGAGTGTACTGATAGAACTTTCTCTGATAGGGGAGGGGGAGGGGGTGCTGAATGGCTTTTAAGACCAATCCTTTTGGGCCTGAGCATCCCGGATCCCCCTTCGCTGCCCTCAACGGGGCTGTCCTTCCCACCTAAGAGACCTACTCAGTCCCCAGGGCCTAACTCGTGGGTGAAAAAGGAGAAGGTGGCACCATTTTGAGAGGTCCAACTCTTCAGAAGTCTAAGAAAACAATGCCCAGACAGGCGGAAAGGGGCTGCAAGGCCAGAAGAGGGGGCTCTACCGGAAACGCAGGCTGCAGTTTTCAGGGCACACCCGCGACCGCTCACACCCCCCGGCCGCCCGCAGCATCCCCAGCGGCCGACCAGTCTTTTGTGCTCCGCAACCCGGAGTAACTCGACGCCCTCCCGGGTGCAGGCTGTTCTGGAGAAGGCAGGCGGCCGAACCCCGGCCTAGGCCTCGGCCTGGCTGCAAGGACAGCGGTGGCAGGGTTGGGGACCCGGGAGCCCAGTGCCGAGGGGGGCTAAGCGGGAGGCGGGGCGCCCCAGGCCCCGCCCCGGGCGCGCGCGAGGGGTAAGGGCCGCGGGCCTGGACCCGCCCCGCCCGCCTGCCCGCCCGCCCGGCCGGGGGTCGCGGCGGCGGCACTTTCCATTGTGAGGGGGAGGGGAGGGGAGGCGGGGGAAGAAGGGGCCGTCCGTGCGCTTCGCCCCCGGCCGCCCCGCCCCCAGCCTCCTCGGGAAGCGGAGGCCCGGCACCGTCCCCGCTAGCCCAGGCCGGACAGCCCTCCCTCGGTCAGTACCTTCGGAGTCACTGCCCAGTGGCTCCTGCTTCTGCTGCTGAGGTTCCTCCGCCGCCATCTTTAAACAGCGCCGCACTGTCGACCGCTTCCGGGTTACCCGTTGCCCTCCTCCCGGAAAAGAGCCCCTCCTTGTGGCCCCTCCTTGGCAACGCCCTTAGCAACGGGATCCCCCTCGGAAGTTGTCACCTGAGGGGCTCGCAGTTCCTGTGGCCGCAGCTGGCTTAGGGGGCCAGGCCCAGTGAGGGGACAGCCGCCCCGCCCACCCTCCATCCGCTTAGCTCCATCTTCCCAAGCACCCAAAGCTCCCGGTGCGAAGAGCCTCCTGGAGCCAGTTCAGTTTTCTTTTCTCTGGAGTTTGAAACGCGGATTGTGTTAAGTAGAAAGGTGAAATAAAAATCAACAGAAGGCAACATTCCTGCGGCGGGCTTCAGAACTCAACGGCAGGCGATTGCAGCGAAGAGAAAGGAAACCAAGCTAACATCAGAGCCTGGGACACCACCGCCCTTCTCCACGAACCTCGGTCCTGAGCGGGCTTTGGTGTCCTGCTTCCGGCAGGGATAACGCGTCCCTTGGGGTCAAGGCCAAAGTCTCGGGACCTAACTTTGGACACCGTACACTTCTGGTTATGAGAAATGCACGGTCTTTTTAAAAGCAGTAGCGAGTTGATAACAATGGAAAACAGATTAGTGGTTGTTAGGGGTTGAGGGGGTGGGACCGGAGGGAAGTAGGTGTGATTGTAAAAAGGAAACAGGACGGATCCTTTTGGAAATGGAAACGTTCTGTATCTTGACTGTATGTAAATATCCTAGTATATGCCCTACTATAGTTTTGCAAGATTTTACCAATGGGGGAAGCTGGGGGAAGGGTACACAGGACCTTCCTGTGTAATCTCTTAAAATTGCCTGTGAATTATCTAAAAATAAAAAGGTTTAAAAGTGGCAAGGTCTTGGGTGCTAAAGATGTTATTATTTAGAGAGGTTGCAACCTGGGTCTCTAGTTCCTGACTTTTCACTATTGAGGGCCTTTTTCATGACAGTGCAGTGGTCTTTTAGCAGCCGAGTGCCATTCAGATCCCTGTTTGTGACAGGAGTGCAATATGATCGAATGTTTTCATGAGCTCTCTCCAGTCCTGGAGCAGGTGCCGTTGGTGCCTGGACTCACCACACAGCCCACAGTGGCCTCACAGCAGTGCTACAAATGTCAAATCTGCGTCTCAGAAACTACAGATTACTATTTATTGGGTCCTTGAGCCTTGGGGTTTCTTCCAAACTCAAGAAAGCGAAGGGGCCACCCTATTTGGACCCCATGCCTACCAAACTGTTCATTCCTTTTCGGATTTTAACAATGAAATCTGTAACTGCCCATCAGATCTTCAGTCAGTAGAAAAGAACTGGTAGTACCAAATGAAGAGCTAAGACAGTTGATGACAAGCACATTTCTATTTGACTTATCAAAATCTTGCAAATAGCTATAACAACTCCACCCTTACCCCCCACCCCTACTTCAGCTAGGGAGTCTCTGCTGGGAAGGGAGTGCAGGGGGAGCTGGGGTTGGGACTAAAGGTCAGGACAGGGAACACAGCTGTTCTGGAGAGCAAGGAATCTATTGTGGCCCAGGGCTGGACCATAGCCAGGCTGCCAACGCCAATACCTCCCCCCCAAGGGCTTGGGACTTGAGGAGCAGACCCATACCCTGTACAAAGGGCCTGTAATGAGGGTCCTTGCTCCTACCTGCTGCCCAGCCTTTCCCATCTCGTCAGGCAAAATGGGCAGGAAATGGCCAGAGGGAAGCTGCGGCTCCTAATCCATCCCAGGGGGCACAACTCTTGCCCCACTCTTTTCCAGGCCAGTTTATTTGGTGGTTAATAACGGTTCTCTGACCCTCATTCCATGGTAAATGTTACTTTTACCATTTGGGGGATTTTGATTCTCTATCCTGAAGCATCTAAAACCCAGGGACACATTTGCCAGGAAGCACCAGCATATCTCCAGATTTTTCTCTGCTTCCCAATTTGCCAAACCAGAAACGGCCCCTGGCTGCAGCCCGTGGCTGCTGAGACCTGTCACAAAACAGGCAGCCCTGTTACTGGGGTTCTGGCTGCTGTTGGATACAGTCACAGGCGACAGGTAGCGGCCCAGGACTTTGTTTTCTATAGTACCGACCTGGCACAGATGCTTCCTCACAGCCCTAATGGCCCAGAATGTGTCTGGATCAACCCCACATCCATGTCCGTCGGATTCTGTCAGGCAGAGGAAGAGGAGACCCTATACCAGGACCCAGGGACTGCGAAACCCCTGCCTCAGAGGGTTTACGAATGGCACAGAGGCCTTAGAGGGCCACGTGGCTTCCAGGCCCACCCAACCTCTTCCACCTCTCAGGGGAGGGGGGCCAGGCCACAAGGACAGTGCCTGGGCCCTGGGACAGCCGCAATCCTCATGGGGACGGAGGTTCAGTGGCCAAGAGAAAGCCTCGAAGGTGGGCCAAAAACGAGGGCTCAGCGAGCCTTCCCAAGGCTGGCTTGGGAGGTGGGCAGCTGCCCTCATGGGAAGAGGGGGTGCGCGCCAAGCCCCGAATGGAGCTCTGAAGTTGCCGCTGCAGGAACCCACGACGGTCCACGGGCCGCTGGCTCCAAAATCATGATGGTGCAGAGGTCAGACTGATGAAGCTGGGCAGGGGCTGCACTTCAGGGCGGCTGGCTGGGTGGATACTTGCAGGCAGGGTTTAGGCCACCTACGGCAGAAAGCAAGCAGAGGCAGCAAAGGGGCAGGCCTCCCCCCAGTCTCACACCACCCACACTCCTCACATGGTCCTGTAAATACCTCACATTCCAAAGCACCTCCTCTGTTCAGGATCCAGGCCCTCCCAGGGGAGCCTCGCAGCACCAGGACAAGGATGCATTCGTTCCCTTATTGCGGTTGTAAACAAATCACCTCAAATCTAGTGGCTTCAAACAACACAAATGTATAATTTCACAGTTAGAGGTCAGAGGTCTGGAATGGCTTCCAGGGCACTAAAATCAAGGTATGTGCAGGCTGTTCCTTTCTGGAGGCTCTAAGGGAGAATCTGCTTCCTACTTATGCGGGTTGTTGGCAGCTGTAAGACTGAGGTCCCCATGTTCTTGCTGGCGGTAAACTGAGGGCTGTCCGTTCCCAGCTTCTAGAAGCCACTGCATTCCCTGGCTCCCTGCCCACTTTCTCCATCTACAAAGCCAGCCCAGGTGGGTGGAGTCTTTCTCTGAGATGTGCATTATCTGTCTTCTTCCATCCACCATAAGGACTCCTGATTACACAGGGCCCACTGGATAATCTCCCATGTCAACATGCTTAACTTTAACCACATCTAAGTCCCCTTTGCCAGGTAAGGTGACTTATTAGTAAGTTCCAGGGATTAAAGCATGGACATCTTCAGGGGGACATTACTCTGACACCTTCATTTTATAATCATGAAAACTGAGGCTCACGGAGGCTAAATGACTTGCCCAAGGTCATACAGTATGGCCAGCCCTCAAACCCAGGCCTCTGACTCCCAGTCCACTGTTCTTGACATTACAGCATCTGCCATGACTGCAACCTCCCCCAACCCAGTGTGCACGCCCAGGCACAGACACCCACCCCTCCAGACTCAGGATCCAACAGACACAGACAATGCTGTTGGGGAGTACAGAGAATCTTATCTCCTCTATAGGGAATGGCCCCGGGGCCCAATTTGGTTGGGAATGAGAGAAACACTGAAAAGGTGACCAAGTTTCAGGCCTAGTGGCCACACAGAACCAAAGGGAGGACCAAAGGGGTTCAAGCATTTGACAGGTCACTCGCACCCTAAACTCTCCCACCCACCCCCAAGTGTATGGACCCTGCCCATGTCCACATGTGCTTCGGGGCCCAGCAGGTTGTGGGAGAGCAAGGGCTGGAGGAGCTGTTGGGCTTGGTGAGGCTTTCTCAGCCCAGGGTTCTCAAGGACCTCCCTGTAACCACTGGCTTCCCACCAACCCAAGAGGTGACTTGGGTTGCACAGTTTTGGGGCTAGAATAGTCCTTCTGGGACAGGGGGGACACTGTGTCTTTGGATTCCAGGGGAACAAAAATGAGGGATACCCAATCAAAATCCTTGGCAAAGCAATGGAGTTGCCATGAACAGCTCTTCTGTCCTGGTGTCACATTCTTTTTTTTTTTTTTTTTTTTTTCAGCTGAGCCATCCTGCTACCTGTTGGCAGCTCAGCGGCTGCTCAGCTCGGGCTGGACTCGAACCGCTG